TGGTTTGCCATTGCCTCCTTCCTAGGGCTGAGAGAGAGTGACTGGCCCAAAGTCACCCAGCTGGTTTCATACCTAAGGCAGGACTAGAAGTCATGGTCTCCTGGTTTCCAGCCTGGTGCCTTAACCACTAGACCAAACTGGCTCTCACTATTTATACTAGTTACCTTATAAATGGTTGGGTTTCCAACCAGCAACATTTGATTTACAAGACACGTGTGATATTGACTGCGCTATATAGGATTCTACTTAATTATTTTCCTGTCCTTTTATGCAGAAACAGAAAACTTATAGCATTACATATTCTGTTTCATTTGCTATCTTCGTTTGCTCTTGTAACACAAAAGAAAGCTTCAGTTTTCGTTAAAGCCAAGAACAGAAACTTCAAAGAAGAGATTTCAAGGTTTAGCTGTATGAAGAAAAAATCCATTTTGTAAAAAGAGTTGAAGCATGAAACAGCTTATCTATTATCTATTTGATTTTTCTGCAGTTTTCCAAAAAGGATGATAAGAAAATAGATGCAATGACTACTTAACACAAGTGTATTTATCTCCCCACTGCCTAGTTTATTTGGTTGGTTAGATAAACTTGGTTGATTCTGTTGCTATGATGCAAAGAAGTTGATCTGCATCTGCAGAACTTCTGCATGCTATTTCAGTGTGCTGGATGCAGTAGCATCTAGGAAAATCTGTTGGGACAGAGACAGAAACTTGTAATGCCTCTTTACCTCTGAGCTGAAGATTTGTGCATCTGTTTGCAGATTACAGGTGGCCTTTGTTATTTTCAAAGATTCATTTCCAGCATAGCAATATTAAAACTGGAGGTACTTCCTTATAGCTAAGAGAATGGCACAAAATAGTGCTGCTTGATTTAGAAAAAAATGCATTTTTTAAAAAAAATAAACTTTCAAAATATAATTTAAAGACCTTCCCCATTTTTTTGCAGCTGTCACATTAGAGTGCTGTATGACCTCTTTTTCACACAAAGTAGAGGTTGGTTGTCGTAGGAGATTCTCAGTAGTAATGTCATTGTTTCAACCAATATTTTACAAAAACAAGTGGGTTTTTTTTTTTTGCATTCCAGCTTTTTTCCCCCTGCTATACAACTTAATTAAAGTATGATATATGTTTTTAGTTTTGTAGACAAAAGGATATTTTTGGACTACAGAGTAGCTTCACCAGGAAATTGTTTTTATCTGATGAAGCAATGGAGTATTCATGCCAGAGTTTTCTTCAGCAGGAAATAAAGTTTCTGTTTAATCCTTCCTAAGTAAGCATGATGGAAATAATCAAATCGATAGTGTTAAACTGCCCTTTCTGAGCTGAATTGAGTAGTTTATGGATTTTTTATTCTTAGCTTTTACTTAATTAATAACAGGAGTAAAGAGGAAATGATTTAGCTACACAATTAAATGTTTCACTGAATGCATGTTCATTTTTGGTGTAAAAACCTTTTGTAGGGAAGAGTTGTTACTGTAGTTTGAATATGGTGAGTTGCATTTTCTGCCTATTACATTATTCTGATTTGTGTACACATACATGGGCATGCACATTTTATACAGCATCCCAAATACTAGAGCTATTATATCTGAGCTGCAAAAATCTGGATAGCCACTAGATAGTAGCAGATGGTAATAGAGTTAGTTTTCTCTATCTCTTTGCTCCCACGTAGTGGTTAATTGAATATTTGCAATCTGGATATGGTAGCCCTGGCAAAGGCATTATACTGAGAAAAGAAGTAAATTTTTATCATTTTAAAGGAAGAGAGAAGTATATTTTATGGCTACAAATATTTTCTATTTTTTAGTTATTCGTTTTATTGTAATTTCTCTTTCAATCCATTTCCTAGGCATAGAAAAAGTCATAACAATTTTTAGTTACAAAAATTAAAGTGTATTTTAAAACCCAGTTGAGGAATACAAGTAAACATCCTTAGGCATATCCCTAATATGCTGTTGATAACAGTCACATTCTTTAAGCAAGTTTTTCCTGCAATGAATTCTCTTTTGAAATTTTGTTGTACTTTATGATTCTTATTAATACTAATTAATATTAGATAATGTAGTTTTTCATCTTATAACTAATTCTGTTTTTAATCAACCTGATCACAACCTCACATTTTAAATCTTTGATTTATTTGATCTTTTCCTCAACTATCAACAGTTTTCCTTATATTTAGAGGCAATGCTATTGGAAACACTGAGTATCCATTAACTTTGAGACCAAATAATAGATACTAGTGTTGATTTTTTAAAGCCTTTTTAAAAAAATGAATATGGGAACATGATTGGCATACATACACTCATACATACACAGACACCAGCTTTGACAGGACCATGATGTCTTACTGCCCCAGGATGGTGTAATAAATATCAATCTCACTGTTTTGTTTTCCATTCTGAAACTGGATTATTTCCTGCAAGTGCAGGTGGGGAGTCCCAGCCTGGAGCACCATCTTAGTTTACAAGGCTCCAGTATTATCAGGTCACTGCAAGAGTCTTCATAAATAACCTTTATTATTAATTATTTTTGTAAAACTCCTAAGGAATTAACCAGGTACTCCATTTTCAAAATTTCTAATGTATTATTCTAAGAGGGAAAAAAAGCCTTTCTCTTTTCCTTAATTTGGACCATTTTTCAGGTGGATTTTATTTTCCTAAACTAATTTGCCTTGAAATAAGTGTGGGAGTAATCCAGTGAAGTATCTGCATTAAAAAACAAAAACAAAAACAAAAAACTTTGAGGCCTTGTTAGCATAGCCAGTTCTGTATTGTCATGAGTTTGCAAGAAACTACAAGTAGGCATATGAGAAAACAAATTAAGGAGAAGGCGGGAGATAATAATAGTTTTTCACTACATCACAGTTTTTGTCTTCTTTATATATGAAGAGAAGTGGAGCTTTGAGTCAGCTTTGTTTAAAATCTTTCCTCCCATTCCTATTCCTCATTCTGAGTCAGTGTTCTCCCTACCAACTTCAGTTATTATTAGCTTCCTGGAGTAATCCAGGAAAACAACAAAATAGCAATAGCCACACTAGTAAAATCAGTGTTAGGCTAGTGCTCTCTAGATATATCAGAAGCTGATTCCCCATAATGTCTGCCCAGGCTTTCTCCACATTTGCTGGAAATTATAAGACTTGAAAGCCACCACTTTTGGAGGATTCCAGGTTAAGGAAGGTTGTCTAGATAAGCCCTGTCATCCAGAGTAGGATAAGTTTGATGGCAGCCTATAATATCACATTTCAGAGGGGTCCAGGGATGGGCTCCTTAACAATGGCTTCTTTTTAATTTAAATAGTGCAAACCCTGCCTTTCAATGTAGCCATCCAAAGAGATTTGAGATAAAGCTTATTGTGATATGAAGCCATCCAAACCTCCCATTCTCAGTGTTGATGATTGAAGTTTGTCCCATAAGGCTTGAACTAAGGATGATACAGATGCCTTTTTAACTCCAGTATCATTATGGGATCCAAACTGAATTAATTTAATCTTCAAGAACTGTACAAACTTGTTATAGCAGGCTATTGTGATTGTAAGTCTTCCAGAAAAAGAAGTGCTAGATTGTGAATTTATATTACTTACATAATTATTTTCATCCTATTTTCAAGTTCTGTCTTCAGGAAAAGTTTACAGAATATAAGAAATGCTTTATACAAGGGAACACAGAAGTTTCAGTGATGTCTTGGCTTTGGTATTCCAGGCTAGTATTATCAGAACTAAATAATGCCCAGTAGAGTAGATGATATATAGCAACATTCACTAGCCCATCTTCTGATTAAACTGATAAAAATGATGAGAAAAATATCAATGTGTCAAAATATCAATATGTCAATACTGTATATCAAAATATCCACCAACATGATACGGGAAACCAAGTTGAAATGTTTGCTGCCTATTAACTATTGCTAATTTTGAATTTTACATTGTTTTTAAATTGACTCTTGTTTAGAATTGGTTTACAAATAATATCCTAGCTCTTGTATCTGTGTTTGGACTCTCTATCAATCTTTGGTTAGACATTATTTTATTCTGCATGTGTCATTAAAGTGTCATTATTTTTTTAATCCATATCATACAAATCTGTATTCCCACATGCCTCAACCCCATGAAGGAAACCAGGGGTTAATATTAGTTTAAGAAAGCCCAGATCGATGGAATTAGACATTCAGAATCCTGTTTAATAGCTGATCAGCCTTTGCTTTTTGCACCTCATAAAAGGTAGGCCAGCTCCATAAAGCTGAGAAAAGTAAACTAAGATATATATATATATAGGAAAGAGCTTGTTCAATGTATGTTCTCCCACTCTCCACTTTTCCCTGGGCACTTTATGTCCAAATACTAAAATTTAGTTTTTTTATTGTTAAATGAGAACTATTAAATTAAATAGTTTTAAAACAGCTTATGCAGATCAATATCAATAAATTGCTGGTACATAATCACAAGATGAAGTGAGAGAATGTCAGAAAGTCACAGCTCACGCTGAACCACAAGGAAGTGATCAAAGTGGAAAAGAGAATTATTGCAGCTGTACTGGACCACCTTAGTCATTTTTCACAAGATGATTTAACTTCTGACATAAACTCTGTGTTGAGTTATCAATATATTTTCATACATACTAAAATAATAATTAAAAAAATAAATGGTTCAAAACTGTATACCCTCATGTCTGTCTCAAAATTTTGAAAATTGTCAGTTCTTCAGCTAAATACAAACTAAATTGAATGTAATCTGCTAGTTGATAAATAAGTATAATTTCCTGGATAGTTCTTTGGATGAGATTCATTCACTGTATGATATTTTATATAAGAGTCTATGAGATAAGTAGACAGTTACATATTAATTTGCAGCTTCTACTAAGGGTGGAAATATTTTTTATTAATGAAATTTTAATATGTTTTTATTCTTGCCTGAACAGCTAAAAAACCTAAGTTTGGAAGAGCTGCAGATGAGGTTGAAAGCTTTAGATCCGATGATGGAGCGGGAAATTGAAGAGCTTCGTCAAAGATATACTGCTAAGAGACAACCAATTCTGGATGCTATGGATGCAAAAAAAAGAAGGCAACAGAACTTCTGATTTTCATACTTAAGAAGATAATGCTGCAAGTTGTTGTGGACACTGGGAGAGTCTTCATAACTACAGGTTTTGAAAGACGAGTACTTCGTGCTTTGCAACAACTAAAGCAAAAGTACTAAAGAAAAGCACGTTAAATGTCCTTGAGCCCAAGTGAAAAATCTGCTCTGTTTTTCATGTTTTAATACAATAGAAGTTTCACATTCCTGATCTCTTTCAGCAGTGTTTCAGTAATGCTGTGTGTTATGCAGTAATGAGTTGAGGCCCTGGTTAGACTTAAAGCTATTTCAAATTTTCCAATTAATGCAGAGCTTTAAGTGGCAATGTATGCGCCTAACATTTAAAGGCATATTTATTCCACATGCTTAGGTGATTTATTTATTTTTATGCTTAATGCTTCTTAACTATAAATGGTGCTTGCAGTTAGTACTAGTGGAAACCAGGACAGAATAAGTTAAGTGTATGTTTATGGTCACACTCTAAATAGAATGTATTGCTGTATTAAGGCCTGACTCAGGTAAAGAGGGTTAGCTCCAGCTGGCTTGTAAGCACACACATGGGTCTCATGGGGTTTTAGTCAGGAGCTTGATGTTGAGTGTAGAGAAATTCTTACATAAGGATGGAGCATGCAGTCTACTCTCTTGGGCATCTCTCTTTGAAAATTACAGGGTTATACAGTCTTAAGCAACTCCTTTTTCCAGGGGACTTGCACTGGAGAAATTCCAAGTGGGTTTTGTCTTAAGTCTGTCCCTTTCACTTATATTAGGCAGGATCTTACAATGTAAGAAACAAGTGCCTATGTACTGTGTTTTCTTTCTCTCTCTCCCTCTCTGTCCCTCCCTCCTTCCCCCTTCTTTTTAATACAGAAAAAATGCAGATCACTAATTTTACAGTGCATATTTCTATCTGTCACTATTTTTCATTTTTCATAATTTTCAATATCTCATTTGACTCCACAATAAAGATAATCTTATTCTAATAAGCTAGCATGATTTTTTTTTTGCTTACTTTTTCACTCCACTTACCTTTTCCCCCTTATTTTATTGAAATTTGGAAATGTTTTCCTATTACAAACACACTCTGAGAAACACTAATTGAAAAGCCAAAGAAAATTACTCTGATTCCAGCATTCTTTCGTGTTTTCTCTTTGTTTTCTTTTTTTCCTGGTAGTTTCCCCTTCAACTGCTCTTCTTTGTAATCTTTCCCTGGTAATATGTTTGTCACTGTAGGTATCCTAGTACTGTTGTATAGATCTTTTTGTCTGTTATCTTGCGTGCTTTCTTGGAAATATGCTCTTTAAATTGAATATCTTCAGTATGTTGTAGGGTCCCCCCCGCCCAGCTTTTGATTTATTCTTCTGTCTAGTATGTGAAATGTATTGTTTGTTGTCTGTATAGACAGCTACTTTTGTATGCTTATGGAATCCATTTTGTAAGTCGTGTTACAATTATGCTAACAGGGACCACAGGTTTATTTCGTCCTGACCTTCCCCCTCACCACTAATTTACATGGTAAAATTCTGGATTTTAGTGAATTGTCCATATGCTCTACAGTCATTGTGAACCACTTACATTATGCACTGAAAACTGGAAAACCACACAGCATATTCTGAAAAGCCTTAAAATAATTTAAATAAATTACCATTCCTTTATATTTCAGCTGAGAACAATTTTACCATTGTATGAGTACATGTGCATAGCTTGAAATCCAAAATATAAATTGAAAATCACTTAACCTTTTATAGCTTAAAAAAGCTGCTATAAACCCTAATTTTTTAAATAAATGAAATAGAAAAAGTTATGGTGCAAACCTCACTGGGGCTGATGTCTCCTACTGTTTTTCATATCAGATTTATTGCAATGTACTGTGAATTATTATTTTTTAGGTAAGGCATCTAAATCATTTTACTAAATGACAGGCAGATATATAGTTAATTATAAGTGATTCTAATGTGAATGTTCTTCCTAATACATTTTATAATAATCTATGATACAGAAGAATCCCAATACATGACTGGTAATATGGGCACCCTCCATCCTAAGAGTTGAAATACAAGCAGAGTTGTATGTCATAAGAGCTGCCAAGACTGTGCTAGAGTCTGTAGAATGCAAGTAGGATAGAACTCAACAGTTAAGAATGATTCCTATTTGTAACTCTTAGCCAGTATATGACTGCATAAGTTCTTGGATCTAAAAGTGCAGGAACCAGTCATGGTCCCACCCTGAAAAAAAAAAATCCCAGTACTGAAACAGCATTAGCGATTGCTCCTTGAATAAGTGGAAAGACCAACATTCACTGCTGGTGACAAGGAGTCCAGAACCCCATTGTTTCATACAGAGCTAGGAGTGAACTGTTGCAATACAGTCTTATCAGTATTCACTGAGAAATATGTTCAAGTGTAATGAGATTAGTCCCAAGTAAGTGTTCATTGACCAACAAGAACGCTTCTTTAATGTCCTCAGTTTTTCAGAGCATTTTGAAATCTTGTACATTTTTTAAAAAATGAATGTCTAAATCACTTCTTTTTCAGATCTGTGAAAAATACCAAAAAGATTAATCAAGGCATCAGCCTTGGCTTTTCCTGGTGTGCCTTATGCATAATTGACTTTAACCAATTCAAAATTACTCAATTCTTTCTTTTGGTATTGCTTTGATTATTATTAACACAGTGAAATCCAGAAAGACGATTTATGTAGGCTAAGACATACACATAACACTTGGAAAGATCTCTGTTCAGATACTAACATAGTTTTGACATGTACATGTTGGTGTAAGATATACACAATCTTCACTCTTTCCTCATGCTGTCCTTTCCTCTCTTCTTGACTTGCCAAAGTTACCCAGGAAGTTTTCAGTAAGTATAATCATAGTTTTCCATTGCATTCAGGTAGCAAACTAGGGTTCAGAACAAACCAGTAATTTACAAACAGTTGCAAACTGTCATTTCAGATTGTATCTTGCTCTGAAGCTACCTGTAGTTTCCAGGTGCAAATATAATAGAAACCCATGATTATCTGAAGACTTCCTGAGTTAATTGCAATACACCAAGACAGGAAGGAACAAAGCCAGGATTGAAGGCAAGGGCACAAGACAAATATTTTTTATTTCCAATGTATTTTATTTTTTTGTGATGCTTGCTTTAGTCTCTGCTGCTTATAATTGATTGGTGTTTTAAATGATAATTGTTGATTGTTTTATTGTGTTATTTTAATTTGAGTTATATGGACAATTTGTGCTTTTATTGTAAGTTAAGCTGAGAGATGTTAGCTAGAGGATGAGTGATCATTCTTAGGATAAAATAAATTAAAGTTTACATCTCTCTCTCTCTCTCTCTCTCTCTCTCTCTCTCTCTCTCTCTCTCTGCTTAAAAAGCTGAGAATGTTACATCCTGAATGGGCCAGTGAATATCACACTTGTCCTCTCACTCCAGAAAATGGAACTATAGTGAACACCATAGTTTAAAAGTTTATTCTCAAACAATTTCATTTTCCAAAGCAAATTAAATTGCAGAAGTAGCACACAAAATACACTATTTGGAATTCCCTTAATTTCTCTACAGTTAGTTTAGTATTAACTATAGTAGTTTGAAGAGATAATTTGATTTTATCACTGTTAATAAATCAGGCAACAAGTTGTATAATAAAAATGAAATTTAGGGATAGGAGTTATATGCAATTGACCTTTTTTATTATTTCATATTTATTAATGTTTACTGAAACATGCATTACTTGTGCCCACAACCACTTTTATTTCCACTGAAAACATACATCTTTGTGAAATACTTTTTTTAAACTAAAACTTGCAATAATTCTAGTATTGACCTTGTGAAATTTTAACTCAGTTTGGTTTATGGTTTGTTTTCTGTCTCATATATAAAAGTTTTAATGTTTTAAAGTACAATTTCCCCAAACCCTGAAAGATAATTGTTTGTTACCATTTTGAATAAAAAGTTATTTTCCATCAATGCCTGATGTTACATCATTTCAACTAGCTTTTTTAAGCTGGGGAGTACTAAACACACTTACTGGAGAATGTTCAGTTGAACTTGGTGGGATTTACTTTTGAATAAACATGCTTGGAATTGTAGTTAAACTATAGCCTTAGACATGCTTACTTGGGAGTAAATTCCATTGAAATTGAAGTATTTAATTGTAGGTGTGCATGTCTTAGAACTGATGCAAAAACCTGCCAGCTTTGCTTAGAATATTGTTTGTTTTAATGGTAAGTCTTTGCATTAAAATTTTCTCTGGAAGACAGCAATGAAAATCATGTTTACTCTGCTATTTGAAAATCAGATAGAGAGTGCTCTCCCAAAAGCTGTGTTAAATAAAGAGATTGTGAGCAAAATGAATGCATTATTTTAAGGAAGTCAGTAGTAAACCAGCTTGCAGCTAGAAATGTTCCCTATATGCAGTAGAACTGACAATAAAAATGTTTTTGTTGTGAGAGTATCAGTTCTACAATAACTCCCTTCTAATTGGAGAAATGCTTTATTTGGGGCAGTTTCATTCTAATATCACTTCTCAGCAGTTAACCCCGTATACAAAGCCAGTGAACAAGCTGAAGGAGGTGGATGGGTAGGTCCAGAAACTTTGACTGCAGCCAGCCATGGGTGCCCACCCCCAACCCCACCACCTCGCAAGTAGTCCCTTTGGCTATTTGGTTGATAGAGGGACTGGGAGGAGAGGTTCATGGGAATAATCTTCCTCCCCTCTTCCCCACATAAATGTTGCACTATCTATTATGTTCAGTAGGTTGGCCACAGCACAGTTGGAATAGGGAACTGTGCTGGGACAGTGCTTCTCATGTTTTCCTCCTTAAAATCACAATATCCTAATTCCCAATAGGTTGTAACTATGAAATTTGCCAAGCCATCAATGATGAGGCTTTATCCTCATTCATATTGATGTCAATAACTTGATTATTTAACAAGTGGGTGAAAACATGTTCCAGAATAAGGCTGACTTGATTAACAACTGAAAAACATTCATTGAAGCCAAACACAATGCAGTGTCATGGATCATCTAATAAAATTGTTCTAGCTGTTTAAAACTCCTTCCAAAAGAATTCATTTAACCAAACATTAGGCTAAAGGTAAAGATGTCTTTGAGTCAAACTTGATTCCTAGTGATTACATGGGCAGTTTTCTTGGTAGCATTAAAAAATGGTTTGTCATTTGCTTTTTCTGGTTATTTTTTTTTTTTTTTACTTCCCAATCTTACAAGGAAAGGCCAGCTAAAGAAAGGAATTCAGACTATAATACGTAGCTTTTACCCAATATTTAGTCACAACAATTTATATCAAAGTCGAACTAAGTTCTGCAGTGTTTAGTGTATCTCTAGATATTATATAGCCTTCTTTATCTCAAGGTCTGAAACATTCAGAACATATGAGATGCATGGAGAATTCTTATGTTGTGGCCAAAACGTGGCTCACCTAAAGCAACCAAATCACTCTGAATATATAACATAAATGCATTAAGTATGTGAACAACTACAGTGTACACTGGACTCCCAGCAAAGCATTGGCAGCTGGCTGAGCAGCCCTGAGCAAAAGCAGAACCACAGCCTATATACCTTTGGCCTACCCCATTTCAATGACAGGACAAAGGAAAAGGCAGACATCGCGTCAATTGCAGCATGGCGTGGAATGTTCTTGATAACCCCATCTGGGGGACCTTATCTATCCCTTCCTACTAGGTCAGCACACTAGCTAAACTATCTTTGAGATATAGTCAGTGAATATAAACAATTTGGTTTACTGGGCCGCTGGCCCTGTCTGATTCCCTCCCCTGTTGCCTAGCTCAGTTCAGCTTGCTATGAATGTTCTCTTACAAGGGTGCTTTAAGCAGTTCACATGTAAAGCTTGGGGGGGGGGGCATCTCATAGGTCTGGTAGTGAATGCAGCTCACATGTATATGGGTGGCTGCTATGTTTTACTGCCACATTTATAAGTGAAGAGGATATTAATACTGGCTCCAAGTTTATAACAGAGAATAAAGCAGTATGTTTTGTTAGGCAAATGGAAGTTTGCAGTATAAAGCGTTAAGAATCACTTTGAAAGATTAAAGCTCTCAAGCTCAGCTATGATCTATGAGGTCCTGCTTGGAAGCCTATATACTGCATCTCAATTATATATATAGCACTATTTTTAAATTAACCCTAGGGATGATGCAGCCAGATCGCCTCTTTTTCAAACTCTGATCAGACCCAATCTATTTGCTTTCAGCGTCACTGTGCGCAATAATCCAAATGTAGGCATGATAGAAAGAACATCTCTGTAGTTTGTATGGCTCAGCAGGAAACAAAATTCCTTCCTTCTCTCTTTCAGAATACCCTGATCTTGTTTTTAGTTACCAAGTTGAATAGTCATAACTAGACTTAATGATCAAAATATTGTTGAGTCTCACGAGACCCCAGAAAGACAGAGAGCAGATAAAACAAGAAGACTGTCATTAGCAAAGCTGTGATTTAGCCTGGAAAGCTGCACAAAAAGTCAGTTCCGTTTAAATTTGATGTGAATTTTGAGAAAATTGGGGTTTTGTATCTTTAAAATTAGTGATAGATGCAATATTTTTAGTATACTATTCCAACCCACAATTGCATATTATATAGTTTATGTTTGTGTCTTTGTCTTAAATGCTTTTGATGCTTGTTAAAAGGAATAATAGATGAACTAAACTCAATTTGAAAAGGAAAACAGAACATTTAAATAAAAAAAACTACCATGCAAATCAATTTTAGATGGCCTTATAGGTACTTTACTAATAAAATATACTACAAAAATGAGTGAGCAAAATTATACTTTAAAATGTCTTTGGATGTCTGCTTCCTTCAGTTTATAACTTTTAGGGTATGACTATTTGCATTAAAAACATTCCATTAAAAGTAATACTGTATGACTTCTTGAGGGTGTCTGGATCTGATTGGCCATTCCATGAACCAAAAGCTCTTTCCATTCATGAGCCTTCATGGGCTTCAATAGAGCTTTCATGCTGCAGGAAATGGCCAGGGAAATCTTTGTCAGTGAGTCTTGTGTGCCCTTGCCCCCACCCCCACTCCCAGTTTCCAGAACATTTTTCTGGATATATCAGGAGCCACATTGGGCTGAAGAATTGTGAGGATCATCTTTCTGCCCTTTCTTCCAATGTCAACAGAACTTCAATATGTTGCATTCTAGATCCATCCCTGTATTGTATATGCTTGAGAGAATACATTTTATCGACCATAACAGTTGTTTCTCTCTAATTTGCCTTGAATTGTCAGCTCTTATCTATATGTTAGTTTTCAAAAATAAGCAGATAGCAATTTAAAATACTACACCTTTTCTTATCTGCTTTTGAAGGACCCAGAAACTCTTTCATAATGTGCTATCAAACCACAGCCTATCCTCTCATTATTCAATGGAGACCTTCCTCTCTCACTTACGCATTTTATGTGGTTATAGAGAGACCTATAGCATACTTCTTATTTAGGCATTTTTTGCTCCACCGTGTGCAAACTGAATCAATTGTAGAAAGCAAGAATGGCTAAGTGAAAATAAGAAATCTATCCCAAGGAAGGGCATAGGTGATTTTCTAAATCCTGGATCTCCAACATAGTACCAGTGTGCCCGCAGATACTTCAATTGGTGCACTTCTAACTCGATCCTCGCCCCCTCACCCTTAAACTGAGTAAGATTTCAGGCAAGAACACAAACACCTCTCATGTTTTAGCAGTCTTGGGAGATTTTAGCCATTTAAATTTTTTAATTTTTTTTTTAATTTAATGTTGGGATTCTGGCCACACCAACTCAGTAGCCAAGCATGTTGAAGCAACAGTGGCACTATGATGTTGTCCCTTTTCGGCATATATAGGAGTTTGCAATAGTTTTTGATGAAAATCCACATACAGGAAAAGGTTGAAAATTAGTGCTCTTAAGTAGCAAGATGCACAAACAGAAACAGAAAGTGACTCCAGCTTGTCTGGAAAGTGTTATTGGTAGCCAAATGCATTTTGGAAGACACCATTGTCAAGAGGGTTAGATTTTAAAAAAATCAAACTATTTGATTACCCAGATTTTATGTTGCAAACAAATCATGGAATTTGTTCAAAATGTAGACATTCTAAACAACAGACACAGTTCTTAAAGGGCAACACTCTTACATTTTATCTATCATTTATGTTAAAACATACTTATTTGTCTAAATGAGAAATAAATTTACTTTGTATTAAACATAAGATAAAATCAAGATAAAATCAACAACTAAAAGGTTATACATAAAAACCATATGCTAAAAAAATTGCTGCAATCCATATTTTTCTATACACTTATTACTAGTCCCATCTGCCTGAAAATAATATTCCTAGGCTATGCAAGGAAAACAACCTGTTCATGTTTAAAAAGTAATGTGTTCATCAAAACAAAACTCTTCTGAAATAAATATTTTAGGTCTTGATTACTGGATATTTTTTTTCGCTTACAATGTCCAAATCAGCTCATTAATTCTACACTCTTTCACTAATTGGAAGTAGGTTCACATGTTTATTCCCAAATCCTTGTAGTGTTTTAATTCTGAAAGAACTATTCCTGAGATAGGAAATGAAAGGATAGGGAGGGAAAAAAGCAGAAATGAATTCTAGGATTTTTGTTGTCGTGTCTGACTCTTCGTGACCCCATGAACCATATCGCACCAGGCCTACCTGTCCTTCACTGCCTCCCTGAGTTTAATCTCCCCTCCCCCCCGTTTCTGATGGCATGCAGACAGGTATGTGTGAGCCTTCCCCACAATCCCTAAAATATCTGTCCAGGAACCATCCTTTTTCCCTTGCCCTGCACCCCTCTCCCTTTGCTCCTCCTCCTATGCTGTTCACTCCCTTCTCACCAACAGAGCAGCATACATGGAAATTGCAAAGACAATAGTTTGGTGGGTGTCATTGGCAAGAACAGCAGAGGACCAGGAAAAGAGGGGGACAA